TATATATATATATAAAACATGAAAGAAATACATAAAGACAATTATTTTCTGCGTTACATTGATATTATGCATGAACGAGAAATAAGGAAAGATTAATAATGGACAATCATAAAAAATATTATTCTTATATACAATATCAATTTTAATGCACATATATGATTAAAATAAAAAATTTTTTTTTGTAGCGTCCGTATGTACTGTAAACATGTTCATAAAATTTATCTAGATTTTTTTTATCCTTGATAATATTTATGTCATGATCACTAGTTCTACTGGTATAACGAGAAAATATAGAATTACATATATACGATCAGCATTTTTGGTAACATGTTAAAACTGAAAGCTGTAATTAATCCAGTCTTATTGTGAGAATAAATTTTATTGATTAGCATCACATTTCAAAATACATATGAAGACATAACACAACTAAAAAAATGCGTAAAAAGAAAATTTATGCCATTTCAATCAAACCGATATCTAATATTGGGTTGTCTGGAAAGTTCGTGCCGACTAACCTACATAATTTAATAAATGTATTGAAATTTATATTGAATATTGAAATTTAAATCTTCTGCGTTTCAATTTTCCTTAAAAATCGGCATGAACTTTCCGGACAACCCAATATATTATAATAAATTCGCACTTAGGTTTGATGTATTGATTATATAGGAATTGATACTTTGTAATGATTCATACTGACAATGGAATGTTAAACACATGTGCAAAATGACATATTCGGTCAAGAATACAAATTACATTATTTGAATTAAATTATTTGAATACAAATTAAATTATTTGTGCCTAATTTGTGAATTTTTATATAATTTCTAGTTTAAGCAAACTGTGTGCTGATTATTTGTCGATCTTAAAATACAGTCTTAAACACTAAAGTTGAAGTAATAATACCATAAATTAAATTAACAATAAGCAATTTAATATTCATGTTAATAACCATCTTATCTAATAAATATCATATAATTAATGAAGATGAACTTATAATAAATCGATGAATGTTTAAAAAATACTGCTTTTAATTAAACTATTTAATTATTATTTTTGAATAGTTACTCTTTTTAATAATAAATCTTAGTAATTTGAACTAAATAGTACTTATTAACTTTATCTAACATTTATTTTTTTACCAATGTACTTATAATATTATGATCGATATTATCTAGGACACTCCAGAGAAATGACAATGAAATTGAAATCGAATCGATAAATAAAAAATCATACACTTACAAATGAAATTGTGATATGGAATACAAAATAAAGAATAAAAGAAAAGCATTAATTTATAATAATTATATATAATGGGATCCCGTACAGCACTTAGAAATTTGTAGCAATATTGCTGCAACATTTCAATGTTGCATATTGCAATACAATGTTGCAGAAACATTGCGAAGACTTCTTTTTGCAATATTACTTCAACAAGCAATGCTGCAGCAGTATTTAAAATATTTTCAGCAAGAAACACAAATTGACACAAGAATCATCCTATCCTTGTTCAAAAATCAGTAAAAAACAAAGATAAGAATGACTTTTGTCGCTGTGTCGATGTGTCAGAGGCACAAATACTGAAAATTTATTCAGTTCACGTTACTGTAGACTTTCAATACTGGCAGTATATTGAAACGCCTATAAAATATAAAGACATAATTAATTATGAAGTTATATTTTATTTGTATTTAGTGTATGTATTTGTATTCATTTGTATATATTGTATTATATTTAACAATTCTTATACTTCTAATTTCTCATATTTGAATTTATATAGTACAAAATTTTAAAATAAATATTGCAGTAACGTTGTAATATTATAGCAATATATTGTTGCATTATTATAATGTTTTTGCAATAATATTGCTGCAACATGTCAATCAATATTTTAAAACGGACATTTTTATGTTACTGCAATGTTGCTGCAATATTTCTGTGCTGTATAATATAAATATAAATATATATATATAGTTATAT